GTTCCTGGTCAGGCTATACTTAAAATAATATGGTATCATTTTCCATAAAATAATTTGTGGAACCCTAATTAGTTGCATGAGACCGCGGTAACAGTTGATTTAATTTGTATCTCAATTCATGGGTACTTCATTACTTTTAGTGGAAACTGGATCGCTTGGTGGGCACTGTCTCGAAGGTAGTCAAGGGCCACTTCGAGGCTCTGAACTTTCAACACGGGAAGGGGGGCGTTAAGACCGCATTCATCCGAGTATCTGAGAAATTGGACCCGCTACGAGTCGTGGAGAGCATCAATCGGCTGAACCTTCATAAGTGCAAGCTTGTTGCGGTTATACCAAATAGTGTACCGGATGTAAGTGTTGTTTTTAATAATTTGGGATGGTAAAGATTCATGATCAATACTAGAAGTGTATTGGCACACATTAGGTACAAAGAGATTTTAAACTTTTTAATTTTTTCACTTTGTAGTCAATGATATGTTAAATCATATCTACATACATAGTTTGGTAACAGTGTTAATTGTCTTTATATTTAACAAAAATTGGCAGGTTCTTGCTTTGTCTTGTTTAATGTGTTAAAAACCATGTCATTTAAAATTATTTTATCGTTACAGTTGCCGTTGTGTGCAATGACGAAAAGGAAGGACAAGAAGAAGAAGGCAAGAGTGCCTCTAAAGGATTTCAGTCCCGAGCAGGTGAGAAACTAACAGCTAACAGCTCACTTGCATTCAAAAGTTAATAAATATATGTATAAACTGCCCAGCCTTTCATGAGTGTGTAAAGCTTACCACAAGAGGTTAATGGGTGTTAGTAATCATAGAATGTGTAGCAGCCAATGAGGGCTATCGTTTTAGCGCTCACCAGTTTGCGCCACTGTAGAGTAAGGTCCTGTCACTTGCTAGTAGCGAAGACAGTGGCACCAACTGGTGAGTGCGAAAGTGGTAGGAGGACTATCGCATTTGCACTCATCAAGATGGCGCCACTATAGAGTAAGGTCTTGTCAATCGCCAGGGATGCCAACTGTTAAGTATAAAAACGATAGCCCTCATTGCAATAAAGAAAATACTGACACCATACACCATTCTTCTATTTCTGAATCGGGACCAGAGCAGTAAATAAATGATTGAGCAGAGTTAAGATTGACGTGAGAGATCTTCACTCATTATATTGAAAACGACTGCTGGAGGCTGGAGTGTGGACTTCTCCACACTCCAGCTGCAATGTAACTGCAACTGACTGAACACCTGTTAAACTGAAAATAAAAAAAACAGTTTTCAGCACAGTTTTTTTCTTTTTATTGTAAAAGCGGAACCTTTTTAGCTTTTTATTTTAGCCAACTGTTCTATGTGTCCATTAAAGGCTAATTCATTTATTATCTTCAGTAATAATAATGATTCTGGTCCTTTTGCAGATTCTGGCGACAGTTCACTCGGAAATTCTCACAGAGCTTGTTACCAAGTATACCGGCTTGAATGAACTCAGCCAGAAGACATCGCATCGGTTGCTAGATGACTTAGCAGAGGTAAGCATTAAGCATTATGACGTCATTTTATCGATTTTACTCGGTAAGCCCGCACATTTGTCTTCTAAAATCATCGATAAGACTATCACGGCGCGCATCCTAGCCCATTGGCGAATTAAGGGTAATTTTTCATAGGGGGCTGGCCCTTGACATGTTATGATAGGGAGAAGGGGTGCGAGGATGTGGTTTCTTAATTTAAGCCTTTAAAAGGCAGTGGGAATATAGTTCCCACAATATTTTGAACCTTATTTGCTTTTTTTAAAGTCCAAAAACAATTAAAATTTTAATTATGTTATTTCTACTGTTTGATATTTTTAACCAACTTCAAAAAATAAGGAGGTTCTCAAGTCAACTGTACTTTTTTATTATTGACCTACATTCACTAACTAGAGCTAGTGGGAGACAAGCAGGCATTAACTTTCCTGCGCTACCCTACTTCCGTTTCCAATTGAGTTATATTAGTTTCTCAGCACGGCTAAATTGATTCAAATAATTGGTTGCAACGATCATCAACCATCCATTTGTGTTTCTGCAGTTGATATGACAACACAAAATCGTTGTTAAATAGTTACACTATTGTAAGATAGTGTGAGTGTAAAAATGAATAAAATCTTCTTGTGTCTTGGAATTAATGTAGTCAGATATCGAAATGTCATAAATATTAATACATTTTTGAAGAGAATTTTTTTTTTTCACGGAATATTTAACTGGTTGTTTTGTTCACAGACAATATTCAACAGGTTGAAACATATCATTGATACAAATCCATCCAGCTATGAAAACTGCTTCAAGCTCAGCAGCTTGTATAGGTAAGAAAATCATTTTTTTAACCCGTCAAATAATTCTTGAACAGATGTTTAAAGAGAAAGTTGTCCACTGCTGGACTTAAACCCCCACGAAACGCCACAAGTACGTACTATTCCGTTTTTTCATCCAAGTTAGGGTCGTCAGTCTGTCGCATAAGCGTCTTACTCTACTCTTAAATCCTTAATAAGTTAGTGGGAATATATTTCCCCACCATATTTTTAACCTTATTGTCTTTATGTCTAAAATCCATAAAAAATATGGACTTGCTATGTTTAAGTGCTTGGCATAAGAAATCTTATTCATAGTGGCGTGANGGGCGTGGCGACCGCGCGCTTTTCATACGTTTGGGCCCTCGCCCACGGCGACTTTTTGTAGCGTTGGCATCACTTCTGTAGTGCGCTGCAAATGCGACTAACGTGCGTTAGGCCTCAGCCTCGAGTTTAGCGGGCAGCGGGGCGGGCAACGCAGACACGTTCTCGAAACAAGCGGACAGCTCGCGCGGCGCTTTAGCGGCGAAGTGTTGTGTTCGGGGTTGTGTTGTCGAGATATTTGTTTTTATTCGCAAACGAAATGTTTGAACAACGGCGACAATTTTATTTCGATTCAAATTTATTCCTAACGCTCGATTTATTGTGGGCAAAAGAAGGAGTGCGCTGCCCGCTCGTTGCCCGCTGCCGCGCCGCTGTTTTCGAGAACCGGTCTATTTGATTTTACGCATAAGATCCTGCCGCTCCCGCGCCGCTGTCATTGGACCCGCAAATAAATTAATCAGAAGAACATAGGAGGAGTTCGAAATTAAGGTTCGACTTCCCTCCATTGCAAAGCGGATGACAAACAAAGGTTTAAAACCTTTAAGAAAAGATTATGCACCACGGACAATAAATATCAATTAAGGGGGCCTATCTTATGAGCAATTAGCAACTATAGTCTGGTCCGTGAGCACGTAGAATTTTGTCCAATGACCCCTAGCTACCCATCTTTATCGCTCGCGTGTAATTATGTTGCTATTGCGCTCGCACACTCATTGCGGGTGCCAGTCGCACAGTCGCGACAGCAATATAATTACGCGCGAGCGATAAGGATGGGTAGCTAGGGGTCACTGGACAAAATTCTACGTGCTCACGGACCAGACTATAGTTGCTAATTGCTCATAAGATAGGCCCCCTTAATTGATATTTATTGTCCGTGGTGCATAATCTTTTCTTAAAGGTTTTAAACCTTTGTTTGTCATCCGCTTTGCAATGGAGGGAAGTCGAACCTTAATTTCGAACTCCTCCTATGTTCTTCTGATTAATTTATTTGCGGGTCCAATGACAGTTTAACTTTACCTGCCAATAACGTTTTTCACACGCGGCTCATTTAATTTATCCCAGATATACGGCGAGCCGTTCCTGCCAAACCACCACTCGGTGGACCCGATCCTGCGCAAGCTGCGAGCCACTCACATCAGTCGCTCGTCATTCACCTTCAACATGGTGCGGTTTAATGTGCCCAGCGCTACCTACCATCAGACTATCGCGCTAAACGGCAAGGAAGTCGGTGAGTTCTTTGTTCTTGTAATGCTCCAACCACACCAATGCGTGCAGAAAGGCCTTCTTCTAAAAAAGATAAAGATAAAAGATCATTTATTCACCGAGACAAGGTAATACAACAAGGTAGATGTTACAATAGTTTAATACAGTTCAGCTTATCTCACCAGCAAGCTAGTGTGTGATTATTGCATTTTTTTTATTGACCCATGCATAGTAAAAAAAATCAGAACATTCCAACTACAAACAAAGAACAGACAAATTATTCGATTCTGCAAATCAAATCAAATCAAATATATTTATTTTGCGATTTCTTCTTCTTCTTTGGTTTATGGCGATGAACTTGCGTTTTTTCGCCACTGAGGGCACACTATTCCGCCAATGTCACGTGCGCAGCTTTTACACAGTGGTTGTTATAAAAATAAATAATTTTGTAGCTGCAATCTAAGCAAACTTATATACCTTGCAGAAAGGCCAATGACAGGTCGCGCGACCTATGACAGTTCAGTCACTGTCATTGGCTTTGATCGCGCCGGCAATGGCGATCTGCACGCGTTGGTGTGGTTGAAGCTTAAAAGAAAAAACATTTGCCCCTTTCAATTCAAAATGAAGGCTAACGCTGTGACCCCTTATGGTCGAATAAGGCACGCGCGCACGGGTTACTTTTGCCACTGTGACATTGTCTCTCCATAGATATGAATAAATACTACGTTCTCTCTTTCTCGCTTTATAAAAGTGTAAAAGAGAAAGATAAAAGTTACCCGTGCGCATCTTGCCTAATTAGGTAGGTATTCGATGCCATCATCAGGTCATTCTGTCTCGCCATTGTAGGAGGGTGACCCTCTCCAAATCACCAGAGGAAAAAGTCTGCCTAACTTAAGGAAGGAAATCTTCCATTCGGAAGGACTAAATCTTCCATTTGCTTCTGATAAATTATAGAGGTTTGCGCTCCTGCAGCGAAGACTAAATTATCTGATGATGATGAATTTCGTATTTGACACCAATAAATTGATCAAAATATTAAGTTAACTACCATAGTTAGTACACAACCCTTTCAGCCTGAGAACATTTCATCGACCTTCAAGACTTCTTCAAATCTAAGCTGGCAAGTGCTTATGAAGCGGGATCCGTCCGACAACTGTCAGCCGCCTATCTTTAGCATAGTACCTACATTGCCGTTGCGAGGTGCCATGCTAAAGGTAAATGATTGGCGTTGTAAGTTCAACGTGATATCTTCCAATAATAGGGATGTTTCCTGGGTAAAAAAGCAAGAGTTTTAATTAGTCCGTCGGTTAACTTATCAAAAAATATTCGACGCATATAAACTTTCTCAAAGTAATGAAAATTGAAAGAGATATTAAAGCGAGCCAATGTTCAAAAGAAGAGGCCCGTGATGTCAAGGCGTGCTTAAAAGCACTTACTGACGTCACACGGAAGTTCTACGCAAAATAACTTAAGTAATTACTTGTTTGATTGAGAAATAAAAATGACTCAAATTTTTTGATAATCTACTTGACGGACTAAGTTATTTTTTAGGAAACTAGCTTTGTATTGCCGTAGTTTGTACATAATCATTTCAGCCTGAGAACATTTCATCGGCCTTCAAGACGAAGCTCAAGAAACTGGATCCGACAACTGTCAGCCGCCTATCTTTAGCATAGTACCTACATTGCCGTTGCGAGGTGCCATGCTAAAGGTAAATGCTTGGCGTTGTAAGCTCAACGTGATATCACCACGCGCCGTCTGTCCACCGCCTTCTATTTAGCACTCATCAGAGGTGTTATAGATCGCTTCATCCACGAAGACGCGCCCCACTATTCTTCCGCTAATGTTTGAGTGTTATCGGAACACGTTAAATTATCCATGAGTGCACACGCACACACAATAATAACGCTCGGATTGCTCGGATCAAACTCCCCGCACCTCGCGCTTCCCTCGACCAAAAATTGGTGGGGCGCGTCTTCGTTGATGAAACGATCTATAACCATTTCAGCCTGAAAACGTTTCTTCATCGACCTTCAAGACTTCTTCAAATCTAAGCTGGCAAGTGCTTATGAAGCTGGATCCGTCCGACAACTGTCAGCCGCCTATCTTTAGCATAGTACCTACATTGCCGTTGCGAGGTGCCATGCTAAAGGTAAATGATTGGCGTTGTATAGTCAACGACTCAACGTGTTATAAACCAATAATTCCACTAAATTGCCAAAATGTTTAGTTATAACCATATCATCCTGAGAACATTTCTTCTTCATCGACCTTCAAGACTTATTCACTACTTCAAAATTAAGCTGGCAAGTGCTTAGACGACGTCCGACAACTGTCAGCCGCCTATCTTTAGCATAGTACCTACATTGCCGTTGTGAGGTGCCATGCTAAAGGTAAATGATTGGCGTTGTATAATTCAACGTAGATTTCTACTCGCCAACAGTCGATTGAAACACATTTTTAAAAACTGCTGTGTAAATTATTGTGTGGTTTAGGATCCATCTAACTCTAACACAAATAATGGAGGTACTTTTGAGTTCACCCATTGAATAATATTGTAATAAATGTTTTAAACTACGTGCTTAGAAATGACTGTTCTGGTTTTTGTAATTATGTACAGTCGACAGTACCTCAAGACTAAATTTTTATTGCAAAAAATAGCTTATTGCAACTGTATGAAATAGCTTGAAGTGCCGTCGTCTACTCTTCTTTAGATACTATGTGCGTTTGAGTTACTGATTGTTATTGTATGTACAGTCACGGAATGAAAAGGTTCGTCAGTTTTCAAATTGATTCCTTCAACGAATCGCGAGCACATATTACCTTTTGAAAATATGTTACAGAATGATCTCGAGTTAGAGAAAATAATCTTTAACTGTTCGTCAGTAAAGTTCAAAATTATTCAGATCAAAGTTATTTGACGATTTATCTTGTCAAGAAGATTATTATGATTGATAAACTAAAACCTTCTTGTTGGTTCAACCTGCCATTATTATTTATATTAAATAAAAAAAACTATTGTCAATTGGTCAATGTCATCATTTCATTGCACTGATGGGATAGAAAAATAAACAAGCAAAACCTTATTCGTTAGCAAACGTCATATTTATTTAAATGTTAGCAGCACTGTTTCTTGCACTGTTATGTTGGCAGGTTTGACTCTTACAGTAC